GAGTTTTTACGAGGATAGTGAAGCTCAAGTTAGAGTATGTAGGAAAGAGGGAGATTATTTCCCAGTAAAAGTATGCCTTAGACAAGGATGTGTGATGTCACCGTGGTTCTTTAATATATTTATAGATGGGGATGTAAGAGAAGTAAATGCGAGGGTCTTGGCAAGAGGCGTGGAGTTAAAAGATAAAGAATCACACAAAGTGGGAGTTGTCACAGTTACTCTTTGCTGATGACACTGTGATCTTGGGAGATTCTGAAGAGAAGTTGCAGAGGTTGGTGGATGAATTTGGTAGGGTATGTAAAAGAAGAAAATTAAAAGTGAATACAGGAAAGAGTAAGGTTATGAGGATAACAAAAAGATTAGGTGATGAAAGATTGGATATCAGATTGGAGGGAGAGAGTATGGAGGAGGTGAATGTATTCAGATATTTGGGAGTGGACGTGTCAGCGGATGGGTCTATCAAAGATGAGGTGAATCATAGAATTGATGAGGGGAAAAGGGTGAGCGGTGCACTTAGGATCCGTGGAGACAAAGAACTTTCTCCTTGGAGGCAAAGAGGGGAATGTATGAGAGTATAGTTTTACCAACGTTCTTATATGGGTGTGAAGCATGGGTGATAAATGTTGCAGCGAGGAGAAGGCTGGAGGCAGTGGAGATGTCATGTCTGAGGGCAATGTGTGGTGTGAATATAATGCAGAGAATTCGTAGTTTGGAAGTTAGGAGGAGGTGCGGGATTACCAACACTGTTGTCCAGAGGGCTGAGGAAGGGTTGTTGAGGTGGTTCGGACATGTAGAGAGAATGGAGCGAAACAGAATGACTTCAAGAGTGTATCAGTCTGTAGTGGAAGGAAGGCGGGGTAGGGGTCGGCCTAGGAAAGGTTGGAGGGAGGGGGTAAAGGAGGTTTTGTGTGCGAGGGGCTTGGACTTCCAGCGGGCATGCGTGAGCGTGTTTAATAGGAGTGAATGGAGACAAATGGTTTTTAATACTTGACGTGCTGTTGGAGTGTGAGCAAAGTAACATTTATGAAGGGGTTCAGGGAAACCGGCAGGCCGGACTTGAGTCCTGGAGATGGGAAGTACAGTGCCAGCACTCTGAAGGAGGGGTGTTAATGTTGCAGTTTAAAAATTGTAGTGTAAAGCACCCTTCTGGCAAGACAGTGATGGAGTGAATGATGGTGAAAGTTTTTCTTTTTTGGGTCACCCTGCCTTGGTGGGAATCGGCCAGTGTGGTAATAAAAAAAATGAATAAACTTATTCTACATAGATTGTCTGGTCTCACTGCCAGTCTAACTTATCAATAAGAGTATCTTGTTGATCAGCAGGTTCGTAGGATTCATTTTAGACTGTTGAATTACCCGAACCTAGATCAAAAGATTTAAATTTTACTCTTGCACTTTCCATAAACCTCTATCCTCTCCCACCTCTGCTGTCATGCCTATCTTTCGCTCATTAATACGTTCGTATATCAACTCCATGCAAAAGCAATAGGCTCAGCAGACTGAAATCCCACTAAAGATGATGGGTGAACACAGGAGAACTTAAGTGGAAAGGAACCAAAACTTTTCAACAGCCTAAATTCAAGCATAATGGAAATTAACAAGAAATCTGTGTGGGATCACTCCTCAGGGCAGGAGATTCACCTCCCGCATCTACCCGAAACGACTACAGGTAACCTAGCACATTGCCCCCAAGCGCTTTAAGGTCCTTGCGGATTAACCGCTCATCCCAAGAGCGGTTAATGTAGCTAATTTGCATATTTCAGGGGGTGTATTACATTTAAGGGTCAATTGCTTGTCGTCCATTTAAATGGAATTGACTGTAGGTTGGAATATTGATCTCGTGAACTTATATACAACTTTATATATATATATATATATTATATATATATATATATATATATATATATATATATATATATATATATATATAATGTATACACACATATATATACACATACACGTCATTCGCCGCATAACGAAATTTCGGTCAAAGACGGACCGCATATATGAAGGTGGTGATGCTGGTGTACAGAGACTTACAGTGCTGCCAATCATAAAAGTATAACACACAGTTATGTACAGTGCATAATACTTCATAAACCAGTAACAACTGTATCATTATGTATTTACTATACTGTACTTAGTTATTCTTGAGTGTACCCTATTAATAAAAAACTATTTACTGTAAAGTGTATGCCGTGTTATGCCGGCAGCAGCCTCCTACATCTGTTTTCCCCTCAAGGGAGGTTTCTTGACGCTGGTGAGGGGCTCCTGATCTAGGTGGGGAATTAGATCTGTGCTCCGGTTCCCCGAATTGAGCCTGAATACCTTCCATCCCCCCCCCCCATGATTATGATAATGCCTCTGTTTACTACATCTCTTAATAGCATCCTTTTCCCTTTGTGCTTTATTTAATCTCGTTTTGTTCATCACGGCCCCCAAGCTATACCATATAGCCAAGGTGTGTAGTACGTTATACCATCTAGGTTTAAGCACTATGACGTTCGCACGAAGACGAAATCCACTAATGAAGCATTTGTCAGAACGTATCCGTCGTTATTATTATTAAGGGGAAGCGCTAAACCCGTAGGATTATACATCGCCTGGGGGGGGGATATGGAAGGCATACAGGCTTAATTCGGGGAACTGGAGCACAGATCCAATTCCCTAAATCAAGAGCCCCTCACCAACATCAAGGAACCTTCCCTGAGAGGTATCCGTCGTTAAGCGACGCACGGGTGTAGTAGCTACTAGTTGAACACCTGTTGTGCGTGGCGCAGGTGTGTTTACACGGTTCAAGGCAGACAGCAGAAGGCTGTGCATTCCAAAGGGAACAATTCCTGGAAGAATGTAAGTGTTGAACCTTGAGTCATCAGTGAGGCACACTTAAAAGTGGAAGGAAAGATAAATTCTTGTGTTAGATGAATGGTTCAGAGAACCGACAAGTTGATAACAGACACATGTGCAACACTTGGGTATCTTTAATGAGGAATCATTTCGCCACACAGTGGCTTCATCAGTCCATACAAAGGAGAACGGTGAAGAATAGGAGGAGTTTGAGGTAATCAGTCCCTCAGCCTTGAGTCGATGTGTTCAGTCTATGTGGACTGACCACATCGACTCAAGGCTGAGGGACTGATTACCTCAAACTCCTCCTATTCTTCACCGTTCTCCTTTGTATGGACTGATGAAGCCACTGTGTGGGGAAACGTTTCCTCGTTAAAGATACCAAGTGTTGTACATGTGTCTAAATATAAAAAATTCTTGCATGTGCTGTACCTGGGTGGCGTCTGATCCAACACTGCACGCGCACTAAGCAGTACACTACTTTCCCTCCCAACAGCTTGATCGATCAGAACAACAATTAGGCCTGATTTGGGACCGGGTCGCGCGGGCGGTGACCTCCTAGACTACAAGTAACCTGAAGGTTACGCAGCTCAACAAACCTTAAATCCCTACCCCACTGAAAAGTATTCAACCCGATCCCACCTAACACCGACTCGGTCTCTCCACTTTACATCATCCAACTCAACCACCCCACAACATTCATTCTCCAACCCCCCCCCCCTCCCCTGCCCTAGCCAACAATACCACCCACCCCCACAGGCCATAAAATAACCAATCCTTAATTAACACGAAGGACTGGCACCTAGGCTTGACCCAGCTGTGTGTGTGTGTGTACTCAGTTGTACTCACTTAGTTGTGGTTGCAGGGGTCGAGTCACAGTTCCTGGCCCCGCCTCTTCACTGGCCGCTACTAGATCACTCTTTCTGTTGGGTGTGTGTGTGTGTGTGTGTGTGTGTGTGTGTGTGTGTGTGTGTGTGTGTGTGTGTGTGTGTGTGTGTAGGTGTGTGCGTGCGTGTGTGTGGGGAAGGTGATGTAAGAGTTAAAAATTAATTTTGAGAGGTTGTGCTACACCAGTTTCCTGCCGAGGCTTATTTGTTTGCTTTTGTGGCTGGCAATGACGGAAATGAAGTATGCAACGTGCAATAATATGCAACATGTGTGCTATTGGCGACGTTCACTGGTTGTCCTTTGTCAAGTTTCTACCAAATGTCCCCTCAAGGAAGGTTCCTTGATGGCGAGGGGTTCTTGATTTAGGAAATTGGATCTGTGCTCCAGTTCCCCGAAAGCCTGAATGCCTTCCACATCCCCCCCTCCAGGCGCTGTATAATCCTCCGGGTTTAGCGCTTCCCCTTGATTATAATAATAATAATAATCTACCAAATGTCGATGATTTTCTTTCCTCCAGGCTAAATTATCGATAATTCTGTTGTGAATATCATGCAACCAGTCGGAGGGAGAGGGGGGGGGGGGAGCTAGGGGGATGGGCGAAAATAAGACACAGACAGCTGACCATCACATACTGCTATATAGAAAACCGCTTATGCAGAGCATTTCGGGCAAATTAGGTCATTTTGTCCCAGGATGCGACCCACACCAGTCGACTAACACCCAGGTACCCATTTTACTGATGGGTGAACATAGACAACTGATGTAAGGAAACACGTCCAATGTTGCAACCCTCGCCAGGATTCGAACCCGGGTTCTCACCGTGTGAAGTGAGAGCTTTCGCTACCAGGCCACATATATATAATTTTACATTATATATGAACGCTTCACTATATACATAAAAACATGACAATTGCGTATATTCAAAACAGAGTGCACTTTAAGAGAATATATAAAATGATGCATGGTCGCAACAAATGAGGTTCATAACAGGCTTTAAACCAGGAAGCCTAACGTCCATTTGCCAGAAAAACTGGGAAGCTAGAAATAAAGACATGATTATGTATTGGGAATAGTTTTTTTTTCCTAATAATTCTCTTCCGAGTATTGTGATCTTTGCCGCAGATTTCCAAATAATTCACTAATTCGTAAAATACTGAAAATCTGCATACAAAGTCAAAGGTATATGTCTTATTTACTATTGACGAGACATTGAAATGCTACGATATTCCAGAGAGCTTGAGAAACGTATCAACACACATCACTCACCTTACCTGCAGGACAGCTGCGGTCATACTGACCTTAGTTACGTTTCAACAGCCAAAGTAACCTTGCAGGCTGTGTTGCCACACGTTAATTTACTCTTAAGATTTTCATCAAATATAGACAATAACGACGATTTATTTCATCATGATACAATGTTTGTACAGAGGTGGGTGACATTTGGTTGTACTTGCAGGTTATTATTATAGTAATTAAGGGGAAGCGCTAAACCCGTAGGATTATGCTGCGCCTGTGGGGGAGGATGTGGAAGATATTCAGGCTTAATTCAGGGAACTGGAGCACAGATCCAATTCCCTAGATCAAGAGCCCCTCACCAGCGTCAAGGAACCTCACTTCAGGGGTGTACCTGCAGAACGCCAGCAGTTATTTAAACATAACTAGCTCAATTTTCGTATTTTTTTCAAAATTTTCTTTCATTTGCGCGCTGCGAGCGTTGGCGGCCCCTGAAAGACTATAATGGCAGTAATTATTATTTGCTTATTTGTTCATGGTCCGAGGACCATGAACAACACCTAGCTCTGCTGGGTGCATGGTTTTTGTAGGATCGCTGGTTAAGTGGTATCCTCTAGATTGCATCAACAGTAATGGAAGTCTTGGGGTTTGTGCCGAAAAGTTAGGAAATATATATATTCACCATATTCATCTCAGAAACATTTAGTTACATTGCAGCCCCTGAATGGGTCACAATGTATATGTAATGTATATGTATATGTAATGTATATTACCTGTTCTTATAATTTTATATTGCTGATATTTGCGATATTAGCTAAATCGTAAATATATTGCTTTTTATTATTATTTGACTTAGTTATATTATTAGGTAGGATGTAACATTTATATATTATTCAGTGCTCAAAGTCCGAGAGTGTTAAGTAGCTGACAGCATTTTTTTGTCTAACTACTGTAACAACCACTTCACTTGTTTCGCTGCCGGCTTCTCTGTAGTTGCTGGGCAGCAGTAGTCCACGGAGAGTCACGTGCTCAGGGTGGGGTGATCACACCTCACCTGGGTGGGGGGACTGCCTTATCTTCGCTAGCTCTCTCTCTGACGATGATTCCAACAACACCTCCCTCTCCAGTTCTCCCTTGCTGGCCCTTGTTAGAACATCATCTCTGTCGCTCTCTCTTGTTGTTAGTTCTGTGTAACTCTGTTCACAGAACATAGCCTAGACTTAGTGAGTTTCGACGTTTTACTGAGGTTGTGTGTCACACTGACACTGAGAAACTCAGGTCCTGAGCTGTAGCTTCTGACCTAATTTGCACTGGTATCTGTGCACCGTCACAGTCGGGGATTTTCTTATGCTGAACTTAGATTCAGTAGTATGGGAGTTTTGTGACTTTTGTGGAGGATCTGCAGATGGTCCCTACTTAGGGTCGTTATGTTAACTCCTTGTTCCTGATTCTGTGTTGCTGCTGCTTATTATATTGTTGTTCGGCGAATTGGTTCATTATACTGTTCAAGCAAGCTGTTCTGATTGCCAGGTTAGTCAAGAAGTTAGTTTATGTGAGGACTTTTAGTTAGTCACTGGTTAAGTCTAGTCGAGTCTTGAGACAGCGAACTACTTAAAGCACTTACATACATACTCGCTTGTATATATTAGTATTATGTTCTTAAATGCTGACAATGTACCAGACGGTACTTAAAAGCCATAAAGATATGATATGTGCCTTCAGCACAATACTACTGTACACGAGAGAAGTGTAAGAACTTGTAGCCTATATTACATTAAATTGATTACTTTGATTTACTTTGATATTGTCCACCTAGACAACTTTATCTTTATTAATAAACTTCTTAAACTTTAATTTCTATAGTTAGTAGCCTACCAGTTGTGATCCAGAAGCACTATTGAATCTTGCTATTAAATTCTAATGGATAATTGGACCAGGATACTGACTACTTGTTACAAAAACCCAGTAACAGGCTGGATGCTAGAGGGGCAGACCTTTCTAGTATTCACTGGAGATCTATTATTAGATATCGCATTTTTTGTAACAAATTACAACATAACAGTTAATTAGAATACATAGCAATCTCCTCCCCACCCATTTCATCAAGCTTGTAGTTGTAAATGGCTGTTAAGACAGGTGGTGTATAGACCTCTAATGTGTCTTACTTAAGTCAGGTTTCAGTAAGTATAATACATTAGATGTTGGAATTTAAATAATCTATTATTATTATTATTATTATTATTATTATTATTATTATCAGGGATATAATAATAATAATATTTATTTCTGCAAGTACATGTACAAGGTATACAGGCATAGCTGACATCAATGATATACTACTATATATAGAAAATCCCTTGTTATGCAGAGCATTTCGGGCAAATTAGGTCAATTTTGTTCAAGGCTGGCGACATTGCAGACCTGGAGAGTGTACAAAGAACTTTCACGGCACACATAAGTACGATAAGGCACCTAAACTACTGGGAACGGATGAAGGTCCTTGATCTGTACTCCCTCGAATGCAGGCGAGAGAGATACATAATGCACACTTGGAAGGTCCTGGAGGGATTGGCACCAAACCTACAGATGAAAATCACTCCCTATGAAAGCAAAAGAGTCGGCAGGAGATGCAACATTTCCCCGATGAAAAGCAAGGGCGCCACGAGTACATTGAGAGAACACAATAAGTGTCCGAGGCCCAAGACTGTTCAATTGCCTCCCAACATGCGTAAGGGGGATTACCAATAGACCCCTGGCTGTCTTTAAGAAGGCACTGGACAGGCACCTAAAGTCAGTACCTTATCAACCGGGCTGTGGTTCATACATCAGCTTGCGTGCGGCCAGTTGTAACAGCCTAGTTGATCAGACCCTGATCCACAATGAGGCTTGGTCTCAGACTGGGCCGCGGGGGCGTTGACCCCCGAAGCCCTCTCCATGTAAACTCCAAGTAAGGATGCGACTCACACCGGTCAACTAACACCTAGGTAGATACACTAAGAATAATGTAAATCGAGTTATTTACATTAACGTTAAAAAGAGTATCAGATCACAGTAATAGGTACATGTATGTTAGCTATACAAGAAATATCCTTCCTTAATGTAGCTACATATGTGAAATTACTGCACTGTTATTGCCTTATTAATCTTAAGTTAGTCTTAAGCTTACCCGAAGTGCTCTGCATATAAAGGGGCTTTATAAGAATTAACAACTAGGAGTCTACATTGCAAACTGAATTGTTTGCAATCCTAATGGCGCTAAAGCTAACTTATGACACTGAGCTTGACTCTATCATCATTACTGATTCTATGTCATCACTGAATGCTCTTGACTCATATAATGACTCCAACAACATGCTCATTGGGGAAGCCAGGTATAGATACTCAAAAATCCGGGACACAGGAATTAATGTACAATTGCTATGGATCCCATCACACATTGGATTACTCCTTCATGATAAAGTTGATATGTTAGCCAAGAAGAGTACCCAGAAGGAGAATGTAGAATATAACTTTGGTATATCTGTGTCTAGCATTAGAAATAATATTAGAAGAGAGGTAAATAATGAAATTGATTGTTATAGGAATGCAGTTAGAAGCCTGAGTAGATCTATAACCCACTATGATAACATGAACGTAGATAAGTATGTTTATGGAGCAACTTGCAATGTGAACAGACTGACTGATGTTGTAGTGGCCAGGCTTAGGCTTGGTTACAAGTACTTCTGGCAGTTTGGGAGACACACAGATGATGATCAGACTAAATGCAATTTTTTTTTTATATTTTATTTATAACCAATACAGTATACATAAAAATAAAAATAAAAGGAAACAGTATGGATCTCAATCCTGAAGGTTCGTCCATTGACATAAGAAACCCAACACAAAATAAACTAACACAAATGGATTGCACCTATATACTTGCAAGATATAGCTGTATAACATACAACAATAACTTACGGCAAGAACATAGCTACAAATAACCACAGTAACAGGGTCATGAACTGACATATATAAACATTCAATGACTCAAAACCTAACTTACACATAAATTTTACATATAACATGACATATGACAGACTCATTACAATTGAAAATAATATATACAAGAAAATATAACAATTACTTCCAGCCTTCTCATTAATCAATAAACCAAAACCTAACATCATAATCCTACTAGAACATCTACATACTTATCCCTAACATTACAGCTTTACATATACCAAAATACAAATAAACATACAAAGAAAACAGCTTAGATCTCAAAACCGACTCATTACAGTTACAATAAACCCGTATACAACAATCTCAGACACAAAAGGAATGCGTCTATAAACTGGCTAGATATATCTGTATACCATACAGCCAAAACTTACGTCAAGAACATAGCCATGAAAAACCAATATCAGGGTGCTGACAGTCTATAAGTACATCTCAATATACAAAAACCTAGAACATAACATAACCTAAAAAAAACACTTCATATGGCAAAGAACAATACCGTTGTATAATGCTATACAAAGTACATTGAAATGACAATTAAAACAAAGTATCGACAAGGGAACATACAACAAGCATGTGTTGAATACCTATAAACCTACACATCACATACACCACAGTATTATCTTTGTATAACACATTTGAGGACAAAAAGAAAAACCAAACATACTTAGATCATGCCTTGTGTCACCTCAAACCTTCAAACACACAAATACTGTGAGATGTACCCTCTCACACATACACACAATGTAGTGCAACAACACTACTTACATATTATATTCAATACCTTCTGAAAAACAATGTGAACAACTATCTTCACAATACCCAGCCCCAAACCCCCAATAAACCAAAAAAAATTTATTTATTTTTACCACATACCACACACGCTAACATCTATACACATTTCCATCTCAAGAAACTACCCCCCGCAACCCCTTACTTTACATTAAATCTTTAAAATCCTTAAACCCTGAATCTACGAAAAACCTTCAGAAAATGCTTCTCCCATCTTCCCCTAAAGACCCCTATTGGGGCACTTTTTTCTACATCGGGCCCCTAACA